ACGTATGCGGTTACGTCATACCAAGGGCTGAGGGGAAGTGAACGAGGGGAAGTGGAACTACTAATGAAATGCAGCCTTGGACTTTTCACTTGAAAATCCTTGATACCTTCCCTCAAACTCTCTAAAACTATATCCTAGATCCTATCTGTTTAAACCCCCACAAGGGGGCGCCAAGGACTCATGGAGGGTTGCAAGGCCTTTTAGATTTTAAGATGCGCAGGAAACATAGACAGAGAATGGCATAAAAAGTTCCTAAAAATATCAAGAAAATTCACCTCTGATCAATATTTACAGGAAATAATCTGCTCAAGATTCATCCAAAACGCTCGTTTTACACAAACTTCCTACAGATATTGTGTTCACTGTTTATTGTACAGTTTATCAGTTATCACTGTTTTTGTAATGCACTGAATAAAATGTGAAATATTTATAAATTATAGTCACTTCATCAGTTTACAGGAAAAAGGCTGGGAACTGCTGTCATAGTAGTTATAATAAGTCACAGAGCAGGATTCAGACTTCATATTGTTATTCTGCTTTTAACGGATTACATGCAGGAATCTTGTAATACTGTAAATCAGACACTGGAGGGCGGTCTAAGACCATTGTGTCCCTTTGTATGAAGGTCGTCTCCCTCACATATGAGCTGTGATGCTTCAGTGCAAAATCAGCTGCATTATAAACAGGGCTGATATCCTAATGACTCCTAATTGCACTCCGAATAAATGTGTTATTTCCCTCCGCAGCAACATCCCTTCTTCACCTCCCATGAGGCCAAAGAAACCGACGTGGCTAGCTTTGTGAAAGTCATCTTAGGGGACTGAGTCGCCGCACTTGCATAGGAGGGAGGGAAGATCTGTTCAGAAGAAGAAAATAAAAATACAACAAACAAAAAGCACAAATTGCAACCCCCACCTTTACCTGCAGGACTCCCCTGCCCCGCCTCGCAGTACTCTCACCCCCTCCTCCCTCCAGAATCAAGACACACGGAGCCCGGAGGAGAAGCTGACGAAGGCGGTGGAGTTTGTCCCCACCCCCCCACCTGGCCTCCATGTCCTCTGTACATTACCTGGCACGGGAGGGGCACATAATCTGGAGTAATTTAAGATGTCTGTATGCAAAAACTCCCACTTGAGTTAGATTTGTCGCACCTCTGTTCACCGCCTACTACTCATTATTAGTCAGCGAGTTAAACCACCACAATGGTCAAACTCTTCTTTTTTTCTGAAAAACAAGACATGAAAAGAGGTGCAGATTATATTTAAAAAAAAGATGAATGATATAATGCTATCTATGTATAATCTAAATGTTTGTATACTCAAAGCAAGTGTTGCATCGGTTTATTAATTGACTGCATGTACAGAATATATCTCTGGGTAAACACGGGCTCAGATGGCCAGTGAGGAACAGTCGTAGAGTCCGATAGTTGAAGACCTGCAAGGCCTCACTTTAAGGCCTCCTAGTGGTCGCAAATAGGTACTGCACTTCAACTGCTTTCCCTTGATTACAGCAGAGGGTCTACTACAAGTTTAGGGCTCTGGCTGCCTGTGAGTGTGCGTAAGTGTGTTTGTATGTGTGTGAGTTGGTGTGAGTTGGTGTGTGTGTGTGTGTGTGTGTGTATGTGTGTGTTTGTAGGGCTGCACGATTTGGGATAAAAGTAGAACTTTTGTGCTCAGAGTTGAGATACCGAAAAGTTTCCTCTGCAGTCTCATTGTGCCTGATGTGATGGTCACAAATAAAGTTCCTGTTATTTATGTATTTTTGTGGCCAGACGGCAGGATTTTCTTGTAGTTTTCATGGCCTTGGTGCCGTCATAGCGTTTCGATGTAGAGCTATAGGGTGCAGCGATTAGTCGATGGAAAGAAAATTAGTTGCCAACTGTTTTGATGAGTAATTCAGTCATTTTTAGAGCAGAAATGTCAAACATTTGCTGCTTCCAGCTCCTTAAATGTAAGGATCGCTGCTTATCTTTGTCATTTATGATAATAAAAGAAGAGTCTTTGGGTTTTTGGTTGTTGGTCGGACAAAAGAAGCAACTTAAAGACGTCACTTTGGGAAATTGGGATTTTTTGCCTAAACAATTAATCGATAATGAAAATCATCATTAGTTGCAGGTCTGTTTTGATTCAGTGTGTCCAAACAATGCTTGTACTGCACGCAAATCTATAACATATATCCATAACAGTTCCTCACTTGAAGAATGTGAATTTTTTGTCAGAACTTTGGTTGGATACAGTCATTTCTTCAGTTCTGACTCATTATTTATTAAATCTTCTTTGTTCATGGCTATTTTTGCCGCTGTGTTCTGGCCCGGTCAAACAGGTCTCAAGAGCAGAATTTGGGACAAAGATGGATTTGTTCTGTGGAATCACAACAGTGCCTCTCAGGACCCTTTTCCACCAAATTTTAATAGAGGGCGCTGCACAATGCACAACAACTTGTAGAATATGACACAGCCACTTTGGTTCGCAAGGACAACCTGTTATTTTATGGTTCCAGCTGGGAACCAACTTTCCAGGTTCTGAACCAATTTATTTTTGTTCAAAATGCTCCAAACGGTGTCAAAACTAGGTGCTTGAACCGGAAACGAGGTGTTTCCCTGTTGGTAAAAAGGACTATCGGTGGTTTGAGTTTTAGAGGAAGTTGGATTGTGTTCGTCCAGAGAGTGCAAAGCGCAAATTATGTGAACCATGTTCACATAGGCCTGTCAGACGAGGGTTTGGCTGAAATAAACTAGTTTGTGTGATGTGTCGTCTGAAGGCAGAAGTGTTTATCCATTCCGATTGGTCGAACGTGAAGGCAAGACAAAAACCCTGGTGTCATAGGCCCCGTTTAGACCTGGTATTAACATGCATCTTGAGTGATCCGATCACAAATAAGGATGGGATACAAATGACATTATTAATTCTTCTTATTGGCCCGATTCTTTATCGATTCCCTTCCTGATTCTAAACACAGTGGAGAACCAGAACAGTTTAAGTTTCTTCGGGAAATTAAGCTTTGGACACAAGTTTGACATCATTGTTTTAATTGTTTGGCAATATCCAACTGTCAGAAAAACGATCGATGAAAGGAATCGATAATCTAGGAGGATACGATTCTGATATATTGGAAAATTTTGAACCGGTTCTTGATTCCCATCCCTAATCACAAGTAGACGCATTGAGATCCGTTCGCCACCACGTCTTACTTAACCTGTAACAAAGTCTTGTGTAAAAATTCAAAGCGCTTAGTTTGATGCAGCGGATCGCCCTGCTGATGCAAACACACAAATGTAATGAGACTGCGCAGAGGTACGAAATGTAAATCTGATGAGTCATGCAGCCCTACTTTACACACACATACACACAGTGAGGTGTGTGTTGACATTGTGGTCAGTTGTGGGAGAAGATTGCCCATATTCTCCTTGTTGTCTGTACTGAGCCAATCACAACCCTCTCCACTCCATGTTCAACATGAAAAGAACTGGATATTATTACTATTATTATTATTAATATTATATTAATTATTGTTATTATTTAGATCCAGGTTTGTTTTTGTTTTATTTTCCCCAGACAGATTTACTGCAGTTTTTCTTATTTATTACAACTGCTGTTTTCCCTCTGAAAACTTGACCGATCCATTCGAGACTTTTCTTGTGTGTTTGTGTGGGCTGTGTGTTTTTGTCGTGTTCTTCTTGGCTCAAACACGTAAAATGCTTTTGAACTGTAACTTGCAAGCCTTCTATGTGCCTCTCTATAGAAAACAACTAAGGAAAATAATATGTTGTAATAAGGACGATGCAGGGATGTCTGCCTCTCCCATCATATCTGCTTCCTCCCTCTTCACGCCCTGCATGGCATCGCGATTCCACTTCCGTTTGTTTTCATCACTTTTGTGTTTCTTGTCGTAGATGGAGCTCCGGTTCCAGTCAGTATTGTTCTTCTACACATTTGTGCTCATCTCTGTCGTTGCCTTGGTTCTTGGCTTTTTTCTCGTGGTGATTTCTGATGGCAGAAGACGCCTGTAGTTGTTATGCAAGTACTACTTTAATGACAAAATGGGAAACTTGAAATACTGTACGTGGCAGGGTGGCAGGATACTGTCACAGTGAGAGAATTTACATAATATTCTTGCCTATAAATATTTAGTTGCTCGATGTCTGTGTTCAGTCCATTTTTGCGATGTTTCGGTCACTTTAGCTGTGTTGAAGTTGTTTGATTGTTGCTTAAAGGCTCAATCTGTGACGTAAAGGAAGACAAAAAGGATTCTGCTTTCGCTCCTAATTTAATTAACAGGACTTCTTTTTAACCTTTTACCACCCAAAGGATGCTACCACTATGTAGAACATTCACTGACTGCGAGCACTGAGGAAAATTACATGAATATGACCGTTTTAAAATACATCTATGAATAGACTAGAAACATCTTTTGTGTCATTTTGAGTTGTTAAAAATAATTGAGGCACAGTGCTTGGCAGAAAATACAACTGAAAATGTCCAAGAAGGGTTTAATAACAAAGCTATCCATTTGTTTAGTTTTGGCAGAGCAGTGTTAAAAGTACAAATGCTGGATAGCAGCTACATTAAAGCTGCACTGATTTTATTTATTGTTTGGCCACTTGAGGGCAGCAAAATAAGCTGTAAACACATCATTGACATATTATCACATTATAAAAAAAAATATTTACACATCCAGAGCAACATTAGCATTTATTTTCGAATGTAAATCCAACATTCGCTCTCTTTTAGCCCTGTTTGGCTCTTTAGCTGCTAAAAGATCCGTTATGTTCACCAGCTAGTGGCCAGCTGATGCTGGGCAGACAGTGTACAGTTGGTAAAACATCTGTTTGATGAGAACAGTAAGACTCAACCAAAAAACCAAAACAAAGAGCTGAAAGACGCTTGAGCTGAGAAAACCTCCTTGTGGGTTTCTTTCGTGTTGCTCATTGTCATTTGATCCATTAGAAATATGAACATATGGATTAGTGCAGCTTTAAATGATTGTTTCTGATACTTTTAGAGGTTTGTTTATTTCAGTAAAGTTGTACACACAGCACTAAAATATGGCTCAAAAGTTCCGCCCCTTTTTGCTCTGTCCTCCAATGACTTCGGTCAGAACCTATACATATATGTAGTCACATAATGTTAACTAGGTCGTCAATAAGTCTTTCTAGCTAATAACTTGCCAACTTACTAGATAGCGATTGATGTAGATAAGCTAGCAAGTTAGCTAGCATTTTTCTAACATTAGCTAATTTCAGATGTGACTATGTCACTTATCTTTAACCATCTTCAAAGTCTTTTTTACCTAGATTAGCCTAACACATAGCATATCTAAATACAGGAAAGGTTGATTGTGATTCAAATTGTAAATTAGCTGTTAGCTAATGCTTAGCTAATTACTTTTAATTGTGTAAAATCAATTAAAAATAAATAACACATTTTAAAAAGGGGTGGGCCTTAGGAAGGGTCAGAATTTTACGGTTCTAATAATAAAACATTATCCCATTAGAATAATATAAAAAATACTACAGGCAAATAAAAATGCCACACATGGAGTTTAAAGTCTTTAAACATACAGGAAATGTAGCTGGAACACAAAACAATTACAGATTGAGCCTTTAAAGAACTACACCAGGTTGTACTTCAGCATTAATTAACATTTGTATCTCTTGAAGTAATATTCTGTCTTTGCTGTTTTGTCTGCAGTCAAAACAAACTCCTTTGTCCACAGTACAGTCCGCTCTGTCATTTGAACGTGTTCACCAGGGAGTTTCCTGTTTTGTAGCAGACGGGCACATTTCCTTTCACCCTTCACACCATAATCTGCTCCCCGCTGGGCTCAGGTCCCACAGCCTTCAGCTTACTCCAGGTAGCAGTTCCTTGAAGCGTTACTAACAGACAAAGATCTGGGCTGATAGAGCTTCCTCCTGTTTTTATTTGCAGCACTAAACTGTCGCCCTCCTCCATTAGTTCGTCCAATCGCTGGTTACCAAAACCACAGCCGGCTCTGCTGAAAGCCGTCTGACACGATGGGTGCGATTGCGTTTTTACTGCTACGTTTTGCCTCTTTTCTTACTTCCTTTTGTGATGAAGGTGAGTCAGCAGGCAGGTGGGAGCCTGTCAGACAAAACTCACTGCCAGAGACAATAGTGATGACATTAAGGGCTTCCTCATTAGTACATTTTTGTGCCATGGATGGAAATATACTTTTGAGAAACTCTAATTGCACTTAGTGTTTTATTGCATGATGAAATTAGCCAAATTCAAGTCACACTTTTCCTCAGCAGAGCAAAAAGGTTGTTTCCGTGCAGCGCGGACTGTCGCAGGTCTGTCCTCATCCGTCGTGTTTGTCCTGAACGCTGTTTTTTTTTTTTTTTCCTCTCTCTTGACAAGACCCTGGCGAGCCCCCGAGGATCTCATGATGAGTGGTGTACCAGAGTCCTCTTTGTTCGTCAGATAATCAGCATCATTTTCACTGATTTAGGAATCAGAGCCCGAGTTGAAAAGCGAGGGCTCACGTGAAACTCGGGGTCAGGGGACGAGGAGTCTTCGAGGAGGGGACAGCGTGTGCATCCCCGCTGCTTATTGAGCATCCAGGAGAGAACCAGTCCAGACACTCTGACATCCCAACTGTTGAAAACAACTGGATGCTCCCCCTGAGTTCATCATCACGTGCATGGTCTTGTCGCAGTGATTTGGGTGTGTGTGGTATTTATGTGGTCTTTTAAGTGCCTAACGATGCATGTCTGTGGTGAACATTTAGGTTTAAACACTTCTCCGTCTTTGTGAACGATGCTTAAAACACTGTTTTTGTCCTCTAGTTCTTCTCCGGGACACACTGACACTGCATGTTGCTGTGATGTTTTGCACTGTACTAAGGAGCCATATCACAAACTCACAGAGGGGTGTTACTGTAAGAGTCATTTTGACCGTGAAAGGTTGCGGTCTACATGGACATTGTTTCAGTGGCAGAAAGGTGTTTTTGGCTTTTTCGAAAGAGAGCTTGGGATTATGAGGTTCTGACTTTTTGTATACTGTAAATTCTCAAATCTATCTCTTATCTGAAGAGGCTTTTATTTGAGACAGGCTATTTTGAAGTATATTTAAGCCTTTCTACTCCCATTAGCTTGTTGATGCTGCTTAACACTTTGAATCCACCGGGCATGGCTCTGCAAAGTTGTGTTGTTGCTGTTTGGGTCCGTCCTCCATGCGGCTTCATGCCCCATTTCCCATTATCAAGATTCACACAAAATAGGACCCCATTTGTGAAAACATTGCTCAATAGTGCCACTAGTGGACAAAAAGTCCTCAGGGTCCCTTTAACATGAACGTGCGACAAAGCTGAATCAATCAGTAGAAAGGAACAGTAGCAGTGTCACCGTTTCATCCTACAGTAATTAGTCATTTCAACCAAGTTTGGAAGTAAAACAGTTTTTTGTTTTCCATTTACTTTAGAAAATCTAATATTTCAGAGATATTGGTATGCATGCCAAATTGGCTTGATTTGTGAGTTTAATTTCACACAGTTGTCCCACAAGGCCGTGTGTAAAGAGAAGCAGGAGCTCTTTATGGCTGGAAAGTATCTCTTTCTACTAATTGCTGCTCCAGCAAGATTTCATAACACTAAACCAAAAGATGATATGTACAATGTTTAGAATGACATTACTCTTACATAACTCTTTGTGAATTTAATATGTTAAATTGGCTGCAGCTTTCTAAATTTGCAGTTTGAATAACATCTGTCAACAGCAAATGGTACATTAAGTTAATAAACTTACTACAAGGAGTTTTTAACTGGTTATGAAACAGTCTCAGTTCAATACTGATGCCTCTATGTGACCCACACAAACAAACAAGACCATTAGAGAGAAGATTGGATATTTTCTTTATTCCTAATGTCTGCCACGAGGTCTGATTCCCCTTGAAAGCAATGAAACAAGGTGGTGGGAACACTATTGCTTTTGTCCATGGGGGTGCCAAAATCAATACAAAATGTTTTTTTATTTTATTTTATTTGTCGCAACAGATTTATTTCCTTCAAAGTTTTTATTTATGACTAAATTAAGTGTACTCAAAAGATGTCGGCTTGCTTTTTTTATTTGATTTTGAGTGTAGTTTAACAGACACTATTCTCTCACTTTGTAACACACAGAGGAGATAGAGGAGCGGCTCACAGCTGCTTGGCGCGAGTGTTGGCGAAATATTCGCAGTGGAGAGATGCTTCTGGGATGCACCGCAGCGCTGGTGGAATTTGGAGCATTGTCACGAACAGGCGTGAGACAGAATGCATCGAGGCCATGTCCGGTGAAATTTGGGGGTTAATGTAAAAGTTTACGACCAAAACGTGCATATAAAATGTATTAATATTAGTTTGAAGTGCAGAATTGTGAGAGTGGGGATTACACAAATGTGCGTTGTGCTAAATTTACAGAGCTATTAGTAAAGGGATGGCCCCCTAGCTTTATTTAGTACCAACCGACAGGCCTGGCTCTGGCTAATATTTGAGAATTTACAGTATCTACGTATTAATGGTGATATTACATTTATTTATGGTTGTGTAAAGTTTTATATTTTTAAAGCAGGACTCAAATATTTGACGCTCAGTCTCCCAAAGCTTCACTCAGAACTTTCTAACTCCACACTTCATTTCTTCTGCTTGGCATACAGCGTTTACACTTCTGGTCACAGTTGACTCATATTCAATTTTCAACAGGCTATAATGAGAAAAGAGTCGAGTCCAATCACTCATCACATGGCATTTTCCTGTCTGTGTTTGTGTGTGTGTGTGTATGTGTGTGCGCACAT